GCTTTAAATCGACAAAGAGGTGGTGTGTGTCAATTCTTTTTTCACGGGCCTTTTCCATGATTTGACGCATGGTGAATATCTGGTTTTGTTTACTCCGGGCATCCGCTACTAGCTCACAACTCTGGGTCTTACAAGAGTTTGCTTCCGTCTTGAAACCTTCCGTAAGTCGCCGTATATGGATACATGTGTTCCGTCAATCTCAACATGATCGATTTGGTAGAGAGTTTTTCGATATAGGGACAGCCAAGTAGCTAGATGCACTTTGTTGTGCTGGAATCTAGTATTACATGCAACTATATTTCGGGCCCCGGCGAAGTCAATCAGCCTCAGCCCATTTAGAGATTTTTCGTCGTAGAGGCTGAATTTTCCAAATGTTTTACTAAAAAAAAGCTTTCTTCTTCCTTTGGGGCGTACGCAAAATCAGCGTAGTGTTAAAAACTTTTATTTTGACTCAGATTGTGCCGGGACGTTCATCTAGCGGATTGAACGCTAATACTCGGCGCCAGAGCTTCTCTCCCACCCCGAATCCGGCACGAAATTTGTACTCGTTTGTATGCCCGCCGTAGAAAATTTCACAAAGACCCAATTACTTCCGTCTTTGTCACGCCCTTAATTTTATGAGGACGCTCCAGTTGCCCTAGAGTCGTAATCCTTAGAATATTTGCGGGAGTCGTCATCAAAGGGAGGGTCTCTCATCCGAGACTAATTTAAATTTTATTAGATTTTTCGTTTCTCATGTGGTGGGTCCCAAAACCCACGCAAAACCGCATGAGACTCGCCATCTCACTATAGCTCGCCTCCAAACAGGTGTTTATTGGCTACCCAGGGGATACTTGGTCGAAGACTGTAAGTCATGATCTGCTCGAACCATACGCTGGCCACTTCCAGGTGGTCAAAAAGATTCCTCACTTGCGTGAACTTCTGCACATGGCGCTGAGTCAATGTGTGATTTTAGACCTGGTAAATCAACCATTGACCAGATATTCACCATGAGTTAAATCTTAGGAAAGACCAGTAAAATAAGGATCAACGCACTTCACCTTTTTGTCGATATTAAAGCCGTCTTCCATAGCAAGAAAAGGAGTTGCCGCTTTGTCTGAATTTGGGTTCCCCGCAAAATTTATATGGCTGTGCAAACTGATGCTAGACAACACTAAAAGCTCCCTTATTATCGAGAAGCAGCTCTCCGAACCGTTCGGTACTAAATAAGGTTTAGGTAACTTGTTACCGTGTTATCTCTTCAATTTGATACTGAGTAGAGAACATAGGCTCTTCTATAAGAGCGTACAGCTGCTGGCGTACGCCGATGATATTGATATCATAGGCCCCAACAATTGCCCCGTGAATTCTGCTTTTTCCGCCTGGATATGTAAGCGAAGCGTTTGAAGCTGGTAGTGAACCATTAACAGGCCTATTCTGTCGAGGTAACAAAATTTACTGAATGGTAAATATTAATACCTAGGGGAATGGGTGGGATAAAGAGAACATAAAATACAACAGATTAGCTAACATATTGTTACGATTTTACTAAATCAACCTCGATTATTTTCCGAATCCTTCGGGTACGATCTCTGGATTGTTAAATAAAAACTCGCCAACTTAATTTGCAGTTTCTTTCTTTATAAAGAATTAATCTAATGTCCTTTATTTTCTCAGTAATTCACAATTCAATTATAATGCACTTTTCTATTTACAATCACTAACATCAACTTTCACAATTTACTTTACTTAAATATAATCTCCAACGCGTTTACTTTACGACTTCACTGATGTTAACTCCAACCAGATCACTTTGTAACTCGCCTTTATATAGCAGTCGGCTGCTCGCAGACGAAAGCGTAGAAGCATCGAATTGTTCGCTACGGAAGGTTCTTGTTTTATCGTTTCTAGAACGTACTAGTTATCGGCTTCTCTCTTTCATCTGACATTTGCCTCGCATTTTCGCAACAATATAATATAGTTCACTACATACGTATCTTGTAACAATGTATTATTTATTAGCCAACAAATATCTTTATTTTAAATGAAATGGAAACTTAGAAGCGTAAATTCGTAATTAATTAATTATTACCATTTAGGTCATGTACGAGGTGTGATCAAAAAATATCGGGGATTTTGTGTTTGTTCAAAGATTATTTATTTATTCATGAATATCTATTTTGTCCCCTTCAAAGTAATCCCCATGAGATATTATACACTTGTGCCAACGATTATTCCAATCTTCGAAGCACTTCAAAAAATCATTTTTTTTTATCTTGTTCAGCTCTTTCTTCGATGCCGTCTTTATCTCGTCAATTGTAGCGTAACGTCGTCCTTTCATGGGCCTCTTCAGTTTAGGGAACAAGAAAAAGTCACAGGGGGCCAGATCTGGGGAATACGGTGGCTGCGGCATCATTAGTGTGTTGTTTTTGCCCAAAAAGTCACGCACAAGTAACAATGTGTGAGCAGGGCCGTTATCGTTGTGCAAAATCCAATTTTTGTTCTTCCACAAATCCGGGCGTTTCTGCCGGATTCCTTCAAGCAAATTGCGCATTACTTGCAGGTAATATTCCTTATTGACCGTTCTACCTGTGGCAAGAACTGATGATGCACCACGCTCCTGCAATTATTTTTTCGTCTGTTGTTGAAGTGCTCGGGCGTCCCGCACGCTCTTCGTCGTTCACATCTTCTCGGCCTTCTGAGAACATTTTTTACCACCGATAAACATTGCTTCGTTCCAAGGTAGCTTCTACGTATGCCACAGTCAACATTCGGAATGCATTCGCGCACTAAATTTCGGTTTTCACATAAAATTTGATCCAAGTTCTATGATCCATTTTTTTGAATAGGTAAAAATCGAAGACCATCCAACACACGTGCAAGCAAAGCAGCCGTCAACAATTAAGTGAACATTCAAAATGGTCGAGCTTGTCGGCATAAGTGACAGACATGAGTACCAACATAACGCCACAAAAAAATCGAAATTCGATTATACGTATCCCGCGAAAATTCAAAATTCGCGATACTTTTTGAACACACCTCGTATATTTGATAGGCGTTTATATTCCAACATATAAATTAATTATTTAATAGCATGCAATCACAAAATCAGCTGACAATATTTCGTCGGTGTTAGCAGCGTTGATAACTCGTGTATGCATATCGTTCTTCCAGTCGGATGTTTTGGCTGTGCAGTATGTAGGTTGGGTAGTTGCAGCATAACTCCAACGAATTCATAATATTGTTTAGGTAGCTGTTTCCGAAGCTTGTGGATAAGTAGTTTTTGCCATTCTGAAACTTTTTAGAGAATAGGTAGCAACGATATTGAACTGTGCGAAGAGATTTCTAATGTTTTCCGTGTTTTCTAGCTTTCAAAATGGAAATTATCAGGTCAAAGCAAGCATAATTTTTAGTTTTGAACTCTTTTAATACTTTTTTTACTTTTCCCCCAATAGAAGAGTAGTTCCTCTTTTTTAACGTGTGTATAATGAGGTCTCTGTGATTAGAACTAAAGAATAAGCTCTTTAGATGCTGTGCATCCCATCCCAACCCATTCTTATAACATCCCTCACCAAGTCCTTTAGGCGCTTTCAAAATGGAAATTATCAGGTCAAAGCAAGCATAATTTTTAGTTTTGAACTCTTTAAATACTTTTTTTCTTACTTTTCCCCCAATAGAAGGGGTAATTCCTCCTTTTTAACGTGTGTATAATGAGGCCTCTGTGATTAGAACTAAAGAATAAGCTCTTTAGATGCTGTGCATCCCATCCCAACCCATTCTTATAACATCCCGCACCCAGTCCTTTAGGCGCGTTCAAGTTACTTCCGCCAGCACGGGAGTAGTGCGAGTGGGTTCGTAACCAGTTTGGTTGGACTACACTTCGGGTGAACCCAAAAAGCATATTTTATTTTATTTTTGTTCCATTTCGTATCTAATTCTTTTCAGTTGTTGTTGTGTGAAAATTTTGTCTATTGGTGCAAGTCGACTTGTTATTTTTCAGTCGGTGTTGTCTCGCTTTCTTAAGTTTTTTTTTTGTGCTGTAGCTGTGTGCTGTAATACCCCCCAAATAATCTCAACAGGGAATGTGGTTTAAACCTTACATTTGTTTAGCAGCGAGCCGATTTATTCAGGACCGATGCTCGCTACAGCGTACTCTTAAACCATTATGTTGGTGTGACTTCACTGAAACTTTCTCTCTTTCAGCCATGTCCCAAGGCTCAATACGAGTTGTCTACCGCATCTTGTACAAGGGCGCCAGAATATGAAGCGAGTATATTCCTGTAACTGTGAATGCAAATATACTGCAAAGAAGAGCTGCAGGCATTTTGTGAAACTTTAGTCGTCTTATTTGAAAAGCTCAGACATTAAGTCACCCGCCTCCGCTGCTTTGTTAAGGCATTATGCATACCAGCCAGGGTTGCCACAATTTCGCTGAAATAAGCAAACTGGAGAAGTTGTTAATTTGTCAACTTGGAATGCTTTGAGTACTGGATAGTTGGTCCTTTTTTAGGATTTGAATTTGTTGTTTAAAACGCCCCGTATCTTCAAAAAAGTAAAATTAATTTATTTTATTATTGGAGCAGCTGTTTTAGATATTCTGCATACTGATGGTAACTATTTTTTTGATTTGCTAAACTTTAAACAGTTGCATTTACTTTGCATTCAATTGTTGGCGTGTGTTTTGTTGTTATGGTATAGTAAGTTTTGGATATTTATGCAATACATCCGATTCGTGCACCGTGCCATGGTTATGCAAGGTCCAGAGAATACCCCAATTATTATTATAGTTATATATTCGTGAAAAAATTTTAAAATTCGACGATCGCTCAATTTTTTATACTACACACAATAGTTGTGACTAGCGGACTGTAGGTATCATTTGAATTACTACAAAAGGCGAGTTCGGGTATAGGTGTGATGTTTTGAGTCAGCACCTAAGAGATATTTCTTTTCTGAATATTGCTCATCATAATATTTATATAAAGAAATGTATAATGTTTTAGTTGCTTATATATTTACAGATTTTCAAAGAGACAATCCAGAGCTGCAGAAGTTACGAACGAAATACCAACATATCGCGATCCTTTTGTTTATAACGTATGGGACCCATTTTACTCGTCTACTCGCAGCTTTGGGGGAAGGTATGTATTTTAATCAAAGTACATATGAGATTGTACGTATAAATGTATCTCATATTATAATCGGACTGAGCCATAAAATTGACATTATAATTTAAGGACTCAAGAAAATAAGCCTTATTGCATTATCTGGTAATCGTGTTCCTCAGTTATTGAGAGAATCTATCGAAATATATTGGAATTCAACGTTCTGATACGAATTTTTTGCTCTAAATGACTGATCAATTGGAACCAAGTTTTTCTGAAAGCTGAATAGAGAAAATAATTGTTTCAGTTTTCCGGTTTTTTGAAATTGGTTACCGTGGAGACTCATTCAAAACAATTAAAATTAAAATAATTAAATCCTTGTACTGGCTGCGAGGAGTCTTTTTCAGTACTCAAAACTCGAATGCTAATTGCCTGCTGTACTTAATTTTTAAAATAGTAATAATAATAATAGTAATAATAATAATAACAATAATCATAAAAAAAATAATAATATTTCTAAAGTCGCACGCTATTAATCTACTGGAACGGACGATTAGGCGCAGTAACATTGAACATACGTACAAATAAGCAAAGCTTGTAGCCGCTATGGTTCTGACAGTTCCGTGAAACTCAAAACAACCCGCAGCTGCAATACCAGTTTTCATCTATCTGTTGATCGGTGATTACCTGTATCGAAATAAAATATTCTATATGTTAACCTAGATAAAAACAATCTATTCTGGTACTATATACTAGTAGATTTTTCTAATCATAAAGAAAGCTTCGTAACCCAATTGAAAATTGGAAAGAAAATTGTCCCAAGTGAATCGAGTAATAAAAATGAATTTCTCGAATTGTGTTCATGATAATTCAAAAATTTCAACTAAATCGAACATTGAGTTCGATATTTTCGAGTATGTCGGTCTCCGAACCAATTCCCCTAAGAACTAGTGTTCATTTCAATTCAAGTAAAAATCGATCTTTATCATTAATCGGATCCTAAACCACTTCCTACATGATCTAACCGTTTAAGCACATTCCAGCCATTCTAAAGTGAATTGCCAACCCCACCAAGAATACGGTGGCAGTGTTTACACAGCGCATACAAGATAAGTGAAGCAAAAAAGAATGAATAATTCAAATTTGTATCATATGTGCTTGATTACTTTATATTGCTTAAATCAAAAAAATAGAGAAATGAAGCTGACAATAATGATTAATATGGCAGTAAACCAAAACATACCGTTTTTTCATACCCTTAATAAAAAAAATTTAAACAATTTTTGATATTATGAAGCTAAGAATATACTTTAATTCAAGTAATTATTAAAAAACTATTATCTATTATTATTACCCAATGAACACAAAAATTTTATCAAACTTTTTTTTTAGTTTTATTTTTATATGTACACAAGAAGAAGAAAAACAGTGATAAAATACCCAAATTTTAAGCAAACACAACTCGTGCACAACATGGCGGAGATTGCGGATTGGAAAAATTTTGAGGAATTGAATCTTGTCAATCACTGTGCACTCATACAACGAAATTCTTCCAGTCGACCGCAACGTTGCAAAATAAATAGTAACAATCTTCATCGTACGAGTCTTTTAATTTTTACGAAAAACTATAGTTTGTTTTGCAGCTGCATGTGACTTCCGTCTATCAAAATATGGTCAATATAGTTCCAGGTCTTTCGTTTCAGTTGTTCACACAATTCCCGTAGAAAACTTGAGCTCCTTAATAAACGTCACAAGAACCTATCTTCTTCTGTCCTTGTCCCGTCCATCGTATCTCTTGGAGGGCGGTAATCTCAGTCTTTAGTCTTTCAAGGACATCCACCCTTTGAGCAGAGGCACTTTTCCAAAAAGGACACGTATATTTGTAATGTTTCATATGTTTACATAACAAGCCGTTTGTTTCAATCCGCCTGCTCGCAGCCACTCTTGTGATGAAGAGATTGTACAATTAAACTTCAGCGGACCCATATTTCGGAGTGGCTAGGTTGAAGCTTCCTCTCTTTTATCCGTTATCAAAGACTTCAATGTCGTCAGTAACCGCCTCTTGCACAAGGGTTACTTACTTTACCAGTGTGCGCGACGTGTATGCAGGAGTTGAAATTGAGTATTGTCCTGCCATTTTAACTGTATACCCAAAAGTACGTCTACGAGTATATCATATTCTACCATTATACCTCTTAGTTATTTATTTGCACATATGTTGCAAAAAAATTGTTAAATTAACCTCGATAGTTTTAAAAATCTTTCGAATGCTGTCACTGCATTGTTAATTAAAACTACCAAAATTGTTGTTCGGTTTCTTTATTGTAAGCACGTAGTTACTAATTTAATTTATAACATAGAGCTTAGTATTTTATTTAACACATGTCTTGTCACTATTTAGTTCTCTTAACAACAAAATGCATAATTAACATTTTTTTTTATATTGTAGTTGATGTATATTATATTACAAAAAGCTAATTTCTATGGTTTACGGTTACCGCGGTCAGAAAACTTTCATAAAAACTTAATTTAATCTACTAAAGATTACCCAAATTTTACTGTAATGATTTTTACTTCCGATTAAAACTTTTTGGGTAGTGTACCTATGTTAGCGGGATATGCTGATCGTTCTCGTCCGCCAGTCTTCGGCAGGGTGGTTAGCCTGGAGCCTATCCTATCACAACGTGTCAGTATTGGTCATCGCCAAAGATTATATGGAATCGATGGAAGTAATTATGGTGGCATGCCTCCACGCATTTATGGGTCGGAAGCGAAAACAACATCGAGCTATACTGGCGGCGGCGGTGGCACTAGCTCGCGGCGCCTTTCGAAATATCGTCACGTAGGCTCAAATGGTTCGGTAGGTGCAGGAGTTACTGGAGGTAATCAGAACTCAGTCAATGTTCAAGGTAGTTTCCAGCGATTGAAAGAGCTTATTTGGACCGAGCGCGCCAAGGAACTAACACAACAAAGAAAAGCCGAAGAACTAGCAGCACGTGCAGCCGTTCTCAAAGAAATAGCAAAAGGTCAAAAGTAAGTAAGAGTTCTGCAATAACAAATTTTAAAAAGGAAAGTATTTTGTAAGAAATTACAATTCAAGGCTATGATAAGTAAGTCTGTTTTTGATTGCATGACATTTATGGTTTGTCAGCAAATAAAGTGCTATCAACAATTTCCTAATCAATTATATTTCCTTAGAAGTTTGCGGTAATATTGAAATCAAAATCAGTAATAGTCTATGCGCTAAGAGATGGTACCTTCGATATTTTCTTCAGTTCGCAGTCTTCGTTAGCGAGTTGGTGGTTTAATGTCCAACAATGTAAGTTTGTTGCGAAATTTTGTCACAATAGCCCGAATAGCCATTTCAGTGGGTCGATTAAACTGACCATAAAATGAAAAAAAGCGCACGATGAACTTTCTAGCTAGAAATCCGCCCTATAATACGTACTAACTGTGCAGCTTGTGCAACTGCTATTTCATCGGTTAATTTATAGAAACCGTCCCTGAAAAATAATGCGTTTATGGTTGATGGTAGTATTGACAGTTTATTTATAAACCTAATATAGTTGCTTTTTTTATCAGCAATTTATATAAATTATGAGCTGAGCACCCCTAATAAAAATATTTTTTAATTTTAATTATTTATAATAAAGCTAGAGAAAAACCGTCATTTATAAATCAAATATTTCTAAGTATATTCAATAATGTCAATTATTTAACAATTTGCTATTCGTGTTTCTTTTGTTTGACTTTTGCTGCATTAAGTATTCATTCGTCTTATAAGCCCTCAAAATCCGAATCGCCGTTGATGGATGAAAATCGTAGCCCCGATCAAAATGTATATCAACATTTAGTCGATGGTCGCATTTCCATTGCCACTGGGCAATCACATTATACAGAGAACAATTATAACAATAAGAAAAACAGTAAATTATATTTGAACAACGCTACCAGCAGCAATAGACGTAAAAATGGTAGGAACGGTAAGCCTGGTAACAGCATTACCGAGGGGAAAAACCTTGGGCTCTCCTCCTCCCTGCGTAGTTATTTCACAAATACTAACAATGTTGATAAGCTAAGGTCATTACCGCGACTTACAAAAGAGGGCACTGGACCCGCGGCAACAGTTCCTCGTAGAACATACTCTATGGATGAAGAACATAGCATGGGTATATCGAGGGTATATGCACTACGCCCATCACACTTCCGTGAACGCAACCGCGTATTATTAAGAGAGGTAAGAAAATATATAAAAGCTGGTAAGATTGAAATGTGATGAAGCTTTCGGAATAAAATGTGCTGCTTAGAATTTTTATTTGATAAACACAAACTTTCTCGAGGACACAAATATATGTATGTAAAAAGTAATCTATTATATTTACATGAAATTGAAAGCTTTATTTACCATTGTTAGAATTATCCACTTTATGTCGAAAGCACCGTTTTTAGTGAAAAATATCTGCTATTTTGAAGGTAATGTCATTATGCCTCTCCCATAGGATCTCTTGTCCCTATTGGCAAAAAAAGTAGGAAGATTGATTTTCGGGAACAGGTTGTTATGACTTGGTTCAATGCCCAGAGTATAAGGTTGATGCATAACCTCCCGCAGTTTCTTACATGTTACTATTGATGTGTGTGGTCTGGCATTGTCCTGATGAAACACAAGTTCCCTCCCCTTGGCTATAAAGATGTGTGCTTCTGAGCGATTGCTTCCTTCACACAGTCTAACTACTGACAGTAGCTTATAGTGGGTGTTTGCTTGCGATGGTGATTTTTTAAATTTTTCTTTTCGTGTGTCAACATAGAAGAAGGAGCAAGTTGAGCTTTTTAATGAAAGCTCGGCCTACGTTCCCATTACGTATGCGGATTAAGCATTCCACCCGCCTTGCAGTATCACCACGCGCATAACAACAGAATATATAGTATTACAAATTTTAGTTTAATACAAATTCATTTGCTTTAATTCAGTAATAGTAATATTATAGTAAATCTAGTTACATTATTAACCATTAAGTAAAACTATTTCTAATTGGTGATGCCTGAGATCACCCAACCCAGAGTGGTGTTTTTCGCCACTAGTTGACCGACTGTCATCGGTAGGACTCCTGGTCGAATCAAACGCGCGTAGATGTCTGCGCCCAAAGTAATTTCCACTGGTGCCGCATTGTAGAACTCAGGGTCGGCCAGTCGCATGCATTTGTACACCTCTGCCGTTTGTTCGTGACCTGACCGGTGTAGGAGTTGGTGACATATTTTTCACTTGTGCGCGAACGGTGAGCTCTGCCTGACCTCCATTATTGTCCCGAAACGTGAATTCACACATTCGACTTGCTCCACGCACCTGAGTGCGGAGTCGCAGTGTTGCAACCGTGGCGACAAAAATGGTGGATGCTGGACTCACAGGGTTGATATCAGCTCTGACTGCGCCTAGATTTGGGTGGGCGATGGCAGGGATCGAGTCCCGTTTGGCCCGAGGAATGTTGCTGAGACGGGTTGAGTCTGAGTCGATCATCCCTAAGCCGCCAATCCAAAGTGATGCTGCCCACACGTTTAGCTCGGTACTGCGCGTTGTCGGTAGGGGTGGGCGAGCATCGTATCCGTCGCTGTAGTTGTTGCTGTTTCTTTTGTGCCTTCTTCGAGTTCTGTTATTTACATTTTCTCTTCTTCCACCTGCTGGGGCCATGTGAGCTCGACGACATCATTATCCGACTAATCGTATATGTCAGAGCTCAGGCCGTGCAGCAAAGTGTGGTGGCTTTCTCTGCACCTCTTACAGTGAATGAAGCTATTGCACTCGCTTGCCTTGTAGTTGTTTGCGAGGCACTTCGTATAGTGTAGGTGGTTCTCCACCGTGCCTCGGGCGACATCTGGCGAAATCTGTAATATAAAAATGAATCACAAAATGTGTTGGTAAGCGCATAACTCAACAACGCCTGAACCAATTTGGCCAATTCTTTTTTTTTAAATGTTCGTTGAAGTCCAAGGATGGCTCGAATAATTGCCGGGAAAACCCTTAATACAGCGCTTTTCTTTTTCACATACAAACGTTTTCTAACTAAAACGTAGAATCAATTTGAGCTTTATTGCTATTATATAAAGTTCATTTTAATTTCAAGCACTCACTGTTATCTAAGAAATGTAGGTGTGTTTCTAACGTCAAAAAGTAAATTTTGCACTTTCTTACCGCTATACAAATTCTTTTTTTTTTAAAACGTTTTCTATCTAAAACGTAGAATCAATTTGAGCTTTATTGCTATTATATAAAGTTCATATTAAATTACAAGCACTCACTGTTATCTAAGAAATGTAGGTGTGTTTCTAACGTCAAAAAGTAAATTTGCACTTTCTTACCGCTATCTAAAGTTCAAATTCAATCATATCTATCAAAACAGCGTGCGTGTGTGCGTTGGAGCACAGAATACGTCGTTGGAGAATTTAATGTCGCGTTACGAAACTAAAAAAAAGTGATCGTGGACCCGACCAAATTTCGGCAGGCGACAAAAAAAAATAAAACATTGGTATGGCTTTAAAGGATTTGACTTCAAGTCATATCAGATTAAAAAAAAAAAATTAAAAAAACAACTGTCAATGTCGATTTGCCGCCTTTGCCGGTGTTGTTTTTCTTGGATTTTCTGTAATACTCTACTGAGTGTGCTTTTGTTTTGTATGTAGTGTTTTGTTATCTACCTATGAAAAAAAAGTTATTGCATGTGATACAATATTTTAATAATGCCTATAAGATGAGGCAATTTAAGTAGAAGAACACGAAATGCTACAAACCAAGCTAATTTCCGATCTAATCGTACTGCACATCTCCTTGAGGATTGATTCCAAGTATAATATTTTGGCATTTCAGAATATAGCAATCCTTGGACTTCAACGAACATTTTAAAAAAAGATTTTTAAGGAAGCGTTAGTATTGATCGAGGATTTATGTGTTTTAATTTCAAATTCAGCACTTAAGCCTTATGGAATGCCTATGAGAAAAACAATATGACCATGGTAATTTAGAAACAATAATCGTGAGCAGTGGTTCATTACTGACAATAGAGCAAAAAATGATTTATTATCGGATTTTTAATATCCTCAATTCTTGCTACTTACGGTCACTACAGAAAATCTCATTGGCAGTTGCATCGTCAGGATATTGCGGCTACTTTGCTAGATGGTGGACGAACGACATATTCGACATTCAAGCTGCTATTGGACATTGATAATAAATAAATAAATGAAAAATAATAGTGGAATAGCTGCAGCATTGCGGAAGAGAGAATAATAATTTGGATGAGTACACAATGGCTCTTAAATATTCACTCAAAGCATTGTATAGAACTATACCAGGTTTAAATAGCAATAATAAACATTGCGGTGCTGCCATCTTACTTTTGTATTGTGATTTCCGACGGACCTTACCTGTCGCTTTACTTTCGTGAATAAGAATTTTTTTACAAGCTTGAATGAAAATAATAATAAATTTGAAATTTATTTTTTTTTGTACTGATTTTCGGTTAATATGAATTGTTCAAAAATTTTAATTGTGTTCAAATAATAAATTCATTGTATTTACGGGCGGGTTGGTTACAATAGTAGAAAGTCGGTTTTGGTTTCAGATACATGATGGCATTTTCTATAGCTTAATTGAAGAAAAGAGGAAGAGAAAAAAGAAACTTTTATTAGTTTTCTTGCGGTAGTACAACCAATTTGACTACTGGGTTTTGTCGTTCACAATTCGGTCTTTATGGTCGGTGCCAGGATCGACCTTTTCTATCCTACCTAACCGCCACGCATAATGACTAAGTCGTCGACCGGGAAGTTTTTGTGTGGATGTTTCCATTTATACCGCCTTTGTCTGCTGTTTTGCTTTTCACAAAGGAGTTTTCTTACTAAGTGACCCCTCACTTCTATGAAACTGCCTCGTGGCAATATGTCGTGAAGCTCAAGAATCAACTCCTGAAGGTGGAAATTCAAGTGGTGATGAGACGAAATAATGACCTTCGTGATTGCGGAAGATTTTTTTTTCATTAAGTTGTTAACATGTCTGTTCTTCAATTGTCATAAATTTTGTCTGCTTGTCTAGCGAGATCTCATTGAAGTTAGTACGAGCAGTTGAAGAATTTTGTGCTTTTTCATGTGGAGCGGGGCCGGTCAGAATCCAGCCGAATACTGTTCGCTGTGCCATGAGTGAACCAAAAATGTTGGACTTGACCCCACTTAACATAACCTTGGGGTAAAAATCTCCGCGTATTAATAAGTCTATGTGCTGACACTTGTGAAAGTTGTTATCCGCTTGAGGAATAGGCAGGATGTTTTTTCGCATTTTCCTGCTCCTGGGAGGGAAGGAATCCCGTTAGCTCAGGAAGTACAATTGCATTTACTTTAAGTATTTGTTTCGGGGGGACCAAGTTTTATAGCACACACACACTTTATATACTTTCCCGGATACGGCAACATTTAAACCCACACACATGACTCATGAGCGCTAATACTTTTACTCAACAGTTTTAGTCGTTTTTTAAGCTCTCCGAGATAAAGGTCCCTTCGGATCCCGAATCTATTAACGCTTTAATTGTCTTATTATTGTGGTGAATCGTCACCACAGCAGTTCCTAATAGCATACTTTGCTTTGCGGAATAAATGCTTGTCACATTTGACTTGATCGTTGTCGTATGGCTTTTAGTTGACCTCTCTTGATCCGTGGAACTGGTCGGTTCTCCTTTATCTTGCTTCTTATGAAGCATAGTATGATGCTGTTTTTTGCATTTTAAGACTGCAGAATTGCTCTTACAATTTTTAAATTCATGAGCATCAGATAACCAATTGGGGCAGAGATGAAGTTTTCTTACGGCATCAACTCGCGCTATTGTGCTCATATCGAGAAATTCCGGGCAGGTTTCTAGAATGTGTGCTTGAGAAAAGCACAATTTACAATTTATTCTGTTCGATTTTGTATGGTGTGTATTTAGCCGTCTGGATGGCTAATTGTTTTGAGATGGGCCGCTCCGACTGTTTGGCCTACCACCTGGTTTCTGATCGAGAATGGAGCTTCCTTTGAAGTCAGATACCATCTCAAGCACTTGAAAACGCCTTGTAAGAAAATTATCCAAGTCCCACTTCGGAATTTCAGTTTTAGACTCCTTAGTCTGTTCACAAAGAGCTAAAGTTTGTTCTGGAAGCCTTGTCGAACACAAATAAACGAAAATGGCATCCCAGCTGCGAATATCGATGCCATGAATTTGA